CTTAGAGTGCAAGCTCAGAGCCCAGCAGCGGCAGGCAGGGAACCTTGGCTTCCTCCTTCACTGGAGCAAGCAAGCCTCCTGTTCGCTTCAGCTGCCTGGCTGCCGGCCGCCATCTTGGTTGGCAGTTAATTTGCATATCTCGCTGATTAGCCAATGGGAAGGGTAGCGAAGTTATGGTTAATTACTATGTTTCTCTATTATTAGATAGGATAGCTAGCCCCTACCCTCAAAGAACTTACAGAATGCAGGAAAACTTGATGGCTGCCATTTACTAAGTCCCTTCCATGTGTCAGGCTCAGCTGAGCTCTTTACCTACATTATCTTCACTGGTACAGATACACATCCTACAGATGAAAAAAAATAAAGCTCAAAGAATTTCAGTTAAGTGCTCAAACCCACAAAGCTGGTGAGTTTGCAAGCTGCAGTTTTAGATCCAAGTGCTCCTGGTCTTCTAGTGGGAGGGACACCATCCCACCTAAGTGAGGATGTCCAGTATAACCAATGACAGACTTCCACTTTAGCACTCACTTCGCCTTTCCTAACTATATGGACGAGACAGAACATGTTTTTACTTAACCCAGTCACACCACAATTTTTAAAAAAGGTTGGAGCACGAGAAGACAATTACATGTGTAAGCAGAATTTTGATTTAAAGCATTTCTCTGCAGTATACTGTTTCCTAATGTAGGCCCTAGTAGGAAATCTTATTGGTTCCCTCACACATTTATTGAGCTTGTGCTGTGAGTCAGACATTATACTGCTGCTGGACATACAGATACAAACAGGACAGACAGTGTTCCTCCCAGTGAGGTTACCGTTCAGTGGGGAAGAAATAAACTGATAAAATAATTGAAATATACAAATAAAGTAATTAGAAGTTGTGATAGAGGTTGTGAAACAGTATACCTTGGGAGCAAACAAAAGTGAAACAAAATAATTGAAAGTTACATTAAGTGCTATGGTCTGAATGAGGAAAGGAGGTAGAAAAGAGAACCTCCTGTGGGAGGGGCTACTTACTCTCTATGCAGCGTTCATGGGGACCCCTCCGAGGTAACAACTTGGACTTACTGGGTATGAAAAGGGGCGTCGGCCATGAGAAGGGTGCTTCCTCCGGGGGAGGTGGCTGTGTCTCCTGGGTCAGGGGAATAGGGTCTGGGAGATACTTTGGAAAAGCATTATCCCTGGAGAGACATGGGTGGACGAAACAGTGGTGACTATTTCAGGTAAATGCTGAGGACTTGTGTCTCTGATGTGCTAGCACGCCTGCCCCACTTCCTGGCTAAGGGGACTGTTTAATACCCGTTTCCTCACGCCCCTCTTGTGCATGAAAACAGATGTTCCTCAGGGCCTGTGGGTTGCATTCTGCACTCCCTGGCCCGGCTCCTGAAGATTTCTGTGAGCTGATGCCACACGACATAGCCAGTCTTTTCGGTTTGTTTACATGTGTTGTATTGCAAAATCTTCCCAACTGCCAACCAGACTGCATTACCATTTTTAAGGAATTAGTAAAGTTCAATATTGCGCCTACAATCATTCTATAAAGACGTGGCTTGAATAAAAGCCATTACGCTGTATTAGACTGAGCATGGGGTGAATAAGGTATCGCATGTGAGTGGATGGACGCGAAGTGTCGAACACAGTGCCGACCACACTGGACGCTGTGTGTGAGCTTTCCTGGCCGTTGCAGCTATTACGGAATCATGTTTTACTTACTTTAAAGGAGAAGATTGGCAAAGTGAAGTGTCTTCATTTCAAATTTGACTAAAAGGATCAACTGCCTAGTGACCTCTTTTCTGGTTTTTGTTTTTCTCAGTTGGGAGCCGAGAGTGCCGACAGCATTGGCGCCGTGTTAAATAGCAAAGAGGAGCAGAGAGAGATTGCCGAAACCAGGGAGACTTGCAGGTCCGGCAAGTGGTTTGTTTTTGTTGTTTTACTGACAGCTTAATATTGTGAAAGGATTATTGTTTTAATAAAATGGTCCTAGGTATGAAGTGTGCTGGTATGAAAGCACCAGAATAAAGATTTCAGAGCCATTGGTTTTTATTGTTCATGAATGATAAACTATTTCTTTTCTGGCTGTAGTAACTTCTCATATAGTAGGACGTGGACTGTTACACTAAGGATTAGCTTATATGCCATAAGTAAATAATTATTTTTAAGTTCCTATAGAAGTAAATAGACTTTACCCTAAAAGTGTTAATCATTTCATAGTTTACAAAGCATTTCAGAATTTTTCAGTTTCTAGTTATCAGTTTGAGCATTAGTTTTGCTAGAGACAGATTAGAATGATACCTAATTTAGAAGTTCCTTCTTGCCTTATATCCCTGTAACAGCTTATTTCTCATTTGGTTGCTTACCAATCACGTTTTGTGACTTTTTAGGTGATTTATAAACTGGGTGAATAGATACTGTTTAATCAGGAAAAACGTGCTTCATTCTGTTTTTATTAAGTTATTTCGTGCTACTAGATGCATTTATACATCTGTGCATACCTGTGTGTGATGCGTCAGTTTTACTTTCCAGGGCTTCCTATGATACCTCTGCTCCAAATGCCAAACGTAAGTCTCAGGATGAAGGAGAGACCGATGAGGACAAAATGGAAGAATATAAGGCAAGTGGAGACTCGGGCAACTTAATGGTCAAGGAAAAATAAGTCCTTCCGATAATAGGTTCTTATTGAGGAAAACAAACTTGACCGAAAGCTGAATATGAAAGTGTCTAAAATCATTGTCATAAGTATAATATACGTATAAGCATATGTATAATCAGTTAAATGAAGACTTTGTATCGCTTTCCTCATTTTAACACAAGAGTGTATGGATTAAACTGGGTGATGCACAGAAAGCACTTAGCATGAAGCCTGGTAAGCACTGGGCAATACTATTCTTCAATAACAGGAAGGAGGTAAGTAAGTGTATCAGAAACTGGGTATTTGGATCAGATTTCTAAAGGCTACAACACTTTCTTTTGTGATTTGTGTTCATCAGTGTTAACAATGGCAATATAATTAAAATATTTTGAAAATCCATGACCTAGCCCGCAGTGTAGAACCGTTTCTGAAAGAGGCCCAAAGGAAAAAATCCAACTTGTAAATTTGTAATTGCAATATTTAGTTGAAAAGGAAATATAATGAGAAACCGATCTCCATTTCTTAAAATTAATTGTCCAACTGTATTTAATAGAGAAGAGCATGCATTGTTAGTACTAATTAGTACTATTATTAGTACTAATCTTATATTAGTACTAATCTTATATTGGGAACTGCCCATATGCAGTTCCCAATATTTGGACAGTTTTGACCTGTAAAGGTAGTTTCATGTGGTTCAATATAATAGAAATAAAATTGGCCCATTGGTGGTTATTTCTTTTGATTTAAGCTAAATTCTAATATTTATAGTATTACATTTGAGATTAAATAATTCTAGACAATTTGGTCAACAAAACAGTAGTTATAGACTTTTATTGATGAAAATTTTTATTTTATTATGCAAAGAATAAACTAGTTATACCTAATGATAAGAAAGCAAAGATTTTAATGTTCCACTGTAATGATAACTTGAGAAATGTATTATCAGTAGGGAAACAGAACATGTATGTCTAGTCTTAGTCAAGATACAGTAACACGTGGACCGTTCCTTCTCTGCTTCAATGTCCACTCCCCTCCGTTCCCAGGATGAGCCTGAGATGCAGCAGGAGGAGGAGAACCTGCCGTATGAGGAAGAGATTTACAAAGACTCCAGCACGTTCCTCAAGGTAAGTCAGTGATTCCAGACTTACGACCCTTCACGTTTCAGCTCTGTGCTGCAAGGATTTTAAATACCTATTTGTTTTCGCAGTTTTTTTAGATATTAAGGAATCATTGTTATAAAACAAAGGTCACTTAAAATTATTCTGTAGCTACTAAGGAAAAACACTATCATTTTACTTCTGGTGTTTTAATGTCAATCAACTTACATTTTATATGGCGTCATAATAAAAAAAAGTACAGAATTAGGATATCAGAGTACATGCTATTAATTTAATTTTGATTTTTCTTAGGGAACACAGAGTTTAAATCCCCATAATGATTACTGCCAGCATTTTGTAGACACTGGACACAGACCCCAGAATTTCATCAGGGATGTAGGTATGTCAGATTCGTTGGACTGTATAATTTATTTAACTTGTGGATTATTTCTATTTAGAGACTAATTCTAACTGGATTTGTCCTGGGATTTGTTTATAAGGCATAGCCCATTAATTTAAGATCATCATCAGCATTTCATCTCTACTATTTTGTCTCTTCCTGTATCTAATTATAAAAAATGAAAGAATACTAATTTTTACTAGATTCTTTAGAAGATATTTTTTTCTCCAAAAGAGGGGGAAAAACATGAGAGAAAGGCAGTTGTTGCTCCCTTTCTCAAGAAGAGAATGATTAAACTTGATATTATCAGCAGAATATTTAACTTAATAAGTAGGAGACATTAAATGGTTGGTGACTTGAACTTGGCTTTGGACATCTGGGTGTTTATCTGCCTACTAGAGGCCCGATGCACGAAAATTCGTGCAAGAGTAGGCCTTCCTTCCCTGGCTGCTGGCACCGGCTTCCCTCCGGCACCCAGGACCCGGGCTGCTCCCCTTCTTTGGCTGCCAGCAGGCACCCGGGATCCCAGCTGCTTCCTTCTGGCCACCCACAGGGACCCGGGACTGGGGCTGGCTTCCCTCGGGCCACCCACAGGGACCCGGGACCTGGGCTGGCTTCCCTCGAGGCCCCATCTTTGTCCGGAAGGACATCTGAAAGGTCTCCTGGTCTAATTAGCATATTACCCTTTTATTATTATAGATTATTATTATAGATGGAGGGAGGATCGTTAGATGTGAAATGTGTGCTGTTTCCTGGGAGGGTTCATCACCTCTGCTCTCTGCATTGGCTTCGAGTGTGTGACATGTGCTTGCCGCCCTCAGGTCTGGCGGACAGGTTTGAAGAGTACCCCAAGCTGCGGGAGCTCATCCGCCTGAAGGACGAGCTGATAGCGAAGTCGAACACTCCACCCATGTAAGCGGGTTCCCGCCCCTTGTCCTGCTCAGCTTCCGAGGCCAGACTTTCCCTCTGGTACCTTTCCGTTGGGAATCACTCAGCACCACATGCGCTGACATCATTGCGATTCCTTCTTTGTGGTCAAATATGTTCGTTTGCTGCTCAGGGCTGAGTGCACAGTAGGTTCTCATTTAATTTGTTCTCAGTTTTTCAGATAATTTGCTTAATTTTTTTTTTTTTTTTTAGAAAATCATTCACATTTATTCTTGAGTTTACTTAAAATGTTTTAAAATAGCGTTTCTTCTCAAAAAGTTATTTATTGATGGGGAAAAGAAAGAAAATTAATAGCATCCAGGGCTACTATGGACATTTTTGGGATATGGTAATTCATTTTAACCTTTGCTAAACAGAATAATGCTTTCCTTAAAAACGTGTATAAGGCCTTTGAAGTTGGAGACTGTTTATTTCACACTTAGTTTACTTTGAACATTTTGTACATTTATTAGTTTGCTGACATGAGTCTATTAATTAGAACAGCCACAAAGAAATCTGAGTATTGGGGGAAATGCTAGCAGACTTTAGTATTCATCCTATTTTAAAAGACTTTACATTTAAAGTATTTTATATTTAAATTTTTTATATGCAAAATACTTTCATACTCTATGGAAATAACTTTTCAGTGAAGGCTAATGATAAATTATACTAAGTGGCCAGAAAAGACTATTAATATTTTAAAAAGAAAATTTAGAAACTTTTTTAGAGGGAGGAATTTAAAATTTACAGAGAAATAGTTTTTCCAAACTAACTAAACAATTAGAGAAAAGCAGTGTGACCTTCCCTAGAATACTCAGGTGGTGATGGAAAGGGGTTGAGTCTTACAGCTGAACGTGGATTTTCAGTGTGAAACCAGGGGGCTAGGTGGGAACGGACCGCTTTGTGGTGTGCTTACGTGCATGTCCTAGGGAGGGCGCTGCACGGTGCGCACTGGCGAGAGGCGAGGCCTGCAGTGGTTCTCTCGCAGCGGCTGTGGGAATGGCGTCTAGTAACACGGGAAACCTCTCACCACCGCCTGCAAGTGCTCGGAGCCTCTCCTCACTGTCTGTGCTTTCCTCACACAGGTACTTACAGGCGGATATCGAAGCCTTTGACATCAGAGAGCTCACCCCCAAGTTCGATGTGATTCTTCTGGAACCCCCTCTGGAAGAGTATTACAGAGAGACCGGCATCACTGCCAACGAGAAGTGCTGGACTTGGGACGATGTACGGTGAAACGCCGCCTGTGGGGAGCAGTTTGTTCCAGATCAGCGGTTCTCAACCTGTGGGTCTCGACCCCTTTGGCGGTCGAACACCCCTTTCACAGGGGTCGCCTAAGACCATCCTGCATATCAGATATTTACATTGTGATTCATAACAGTAGCAACATTACAGTTATGAAGTAGCAACGAAAATAATTTTTTTTAAACATTTTATTGATTTTTTACAGAGAGGAAGGGAGAGGGATAGAGAGTTAGAAACATCGATGAGAGAGAAACATCGATCAGTTGCCTCTTGCACACCCCCTACTGGGGATGTGCCCACAACCAAGGTACATGTCCTTGACCGGAATCGAACCTGGGACCCTTCAGTCTGCAGGCCGACGCTCTATCCACTGAGCCATACCGGTCAGGGCCGAAAATAATTTTATGGTTGGGTCACAACATGAGGAACTGTATTTAAAGGGCCAGAAGGTTGAGAACCACTGTTCCAGATGAATAAAGGCCGTGAATGTCACTCCTCCTTGCGTGGGGCGCACGTGCAAACGGGTAGATTTTGTGGCCCCAGGCCTGAGGGGCATTGACAAGTGTGCCAACCTTTCTAGGCAGCAGTTGCGCGGGCGGTGAGAAGCTGGTTCACAGGAGACCCAGCCGCAGCGTCCTTGGGGGTGAGGCTGGGAGGGTGCGAAATGGTCCAAACGACCCGGAGCTCGCTCTGCATTGGCATTTGGTTAGATGTAAACATCAGGAATAAATATATGTGTCAAGTATAGTTCCTACTCTTTAAGGAACTGACAGTGTAATGGATAAAAAAGCATGAGTAATTTCAGAATAAAGTAATTGTGGTAAAGTAATATTTTCCTAAATAAAATTAAGCAAACTGATAACTTCCATTAGTTACAAAAGTTATGTGTTTGTTATCAGTAACAAAAACAACAGGTGTTTCTTAAGCACCACTCTGCACAAGGCAGTGCTGAGATAGCATATTTCATTTTAATTTTGCCCCCAACTTGGAGGTAACCTGTTTTTGTCTCAGTTAGTTTTTCTGTAAATATTAAAGGGTTGTTCTCAAGCTGCAGCTTATGGAATCCTGTAACTATGGCTTCCTGTGGCCTCTCCACACACGTCGGTGTGCCGTTGTACGCGTGCACCTGTGATTTCTACAGGAGGAAACGGCTGGAGAACGAGAAGGCTGCGGATGGACGTTCCCATTATGCCCCTAAAAACGAGAGCCTCTAGTGAACGTCCTGACACACCCAGTGATTGCTCTGGGACGAGTGGGCCCCAGAGCAATCACCCAAGGTGCTTGCGTCCTGACACACCCAGTGATTGCTCTGGGACGAGTGGGAAACAGTTCTTTCAGGCCCCATTGTTTCGGTTTCTTTCAGATCATGAAGTTGGAGATCGATGAGATCGCGGCCCCTCGGTCGTTCATTTTCCTCTGGTGCGGCTCCGGGGAAGGGCTGGACCTTGGGAGAGTGGTAAGCTGGCGTTTTGTAAAGTGGGTCTTTAAGTTCACAAGAGAAAATGCAATAGGATGCATTGCCTAAGACCTTTCAAGATGGGTGTTTTGTCTTTTGTTTCTTGAATGGCAATAACATATTAAGAAGAAAAAATATTCAGGAAAGAATGTATGAAAGGCAGTACCCGCCCTTAGTTGACAACAGCAGTCACCAACCGGTGGTCCCCGGACCACGGATGGTCTGTGAGGTCCGAAAGGTTGGCGACCGCTGGACTAGTACTAGGGGTGAATCAAAATGGGGTTTATAACGACTGCAGGAAGAGAGCGGTTTCGAGATTTAAAACTCCAGCTCACATCTCAAAAACAAGCTGCCTGGTGTCACTTGATGCTCATGAGAAGCTAAAAAGTGCTTTTCTGAATTCCATTAACTCCTGAATTCCAAACGGAAGTCAGATGGAATGGGGAAGTAGCCCCGAGCCTGGGATGTAGTTTGAATGAACGAATGAGAATGACAGGAAGTTCTCGCACCTTGGGTGATAAGTACCTTGTATTTAATTGTGTTTAGAACTTTTCTTCTATTTGATCGGGGTACCCTGTCGAATGGCTGTATAATAGAGACAGGACTCTTTCCCACATCTCACTACAGCAGTTCCTGTGACACCTGGGGACGGGATTTCAAGCCTCTGGGAAGTTTTTAGTGCTGGCTGGTTATTTTAAGTGTTGTTGATTGCTTTTAGCTAAGGGCTTTTTTAAATTTCCATTTCTAGTGTTTACGCAAGTGGGGCTACAGAAGATGTGAAGATATTTGTTGGATTAAAACCAATAAAAACAACCCTGGGAAGACTAAGACTTTAGATCCAAAGGCTGTCTTCCAGAGAACGAAGGTATTGCTCTACGATCTAGTCATCTTTATCTTTATGTTCTCGATCATTTTTTTTTAATTTTCATTATTTTCCAAATGACTGCATATTGTTTAATTTTGGTGGAAAGGTCCTTTTCTCAGACTTGGGCAATGGCACTGAGCATTCATAGGAAGACACCAAGTTCGTGTCTGGTTGCAGCGTAGCTGCTTACAGTATCGTATTAATTCGGGTGTAGATGTGGTGGCTCGAGATTTACATTTGTTGCGCGGTGGTCACAGGTGAGGCTGCTCGAGTGTGAGTGACTGCGGCCTCCATGGTGTTCGTCGCTCCCTGTGACAGTCTAGCTTTACAGCTGGAAGTGTGTGCTCCCGGCCCCTCCCCCTGTTGCGTCAGTCCCCCACCCTGTCCCTCTGGCGACCTCCAGGTGGTTCTGTGTCTGCATCTGCATCTGTTTTGTTTTGGTTATTTTGGTCTTTAGGTTCCACATATAAGTAACATCCTGGCATTTATCTTTCTCTGAGTCATTTCTCTTAGTTTCATACCTCCCGGGCCCGTCCATGTTGCCGCAGATGGCGGGCTTCCTTCTCTTCTCTGGCCGCAGTATCCAGTGCGTGTTCCGTGCAGCGTCTTTAGTCAGCCTGCCCTCCAGCCGTTCCCTCAGCGGAGCCGTTGGTGGGAGGGTGTTTCTTCTTTAATAGTTTCCTTGGACTGGAACATTCTTTCGAAGGGAACCCAAGCCACCCATCCACTGTTGGTTCGTGGAATCAAGTGGGAGGCTAAGTCTGTCCCATCCACACTCCTGCCGTCAGGTGAAATAGCGAGGGTCTAAAACAGACAACAGGGAGAAGGGTTTGATTTGCACATTTCCTGTGTCAAGTATTTGGAAGTCTATCCAGGCTTAAAGCCTCTTCTCCATATTAAAAGGCTTATATCTTGTGTGTAGTTTGATCTTGGATCATAGTAAGCCCAGTGTAACATCATCTTATAGTTCAAAGGTCAAGTTTCATGTTTCCATACCTGTTGAAACGGGTTATGGTTAAGTTTTAGAGGGAAAAGACTCCATGGTCGTTGACTCTGGTCTAGAATGTGGTGGCTCCAAGTCCCGTCCTCTTGTCTCGCCTCCCTGGCCACCTCCCCCCACCCAGGAGCCCAGGTCTTCTTGCTGTGTCACCCAGAGCACCGTGTCCTAACGATCCGGAGGACGGAGGATTGGTCAGGAAATGGGCCGGGGGTGTCCAGGAAATGGGCCGGGGGTGTCGGAGGCTGATGGTCTCTCCTTGCTGTCAGGAGCACTGCCTCATGGGGATCAAAGGGACCGTGAAGCGCAGCACAGACGGGGACTTCATCCACGCCAACGTCGACATCGACCTGATCATCACGGAGGAGCCCGAGATCGGGAACATAGAGAAGCCCGTGGAGATTTTCCACATCATCGAGCACTTCTGTCTGGGCCGGAGGCGCCTTCACCTGTTTGGAAGAGATAGTACGATTCGGCCAGGTAGGACCTCAGGATGAGAAGAGAGAGCTTGGCCACCGGGGGTGCAGGTGTCCGGAGCTCCCTGCCGGGCTGGGTGCAGTGAGGCCTGACGGGCTGGAGGCCTCGTCTGGTGCTGCAGGCCTGCCAGGCTCCCCCGGGTCCCCTGCTGCAGCCGGTCCTCTCCCTCCGCGGTCACTCTGGCCCCGTCTGCTTTCTGTTTCCTCACGTCCTTACATCATTGAATTGTAGATTCCGGGAGGCAGAGCCGTCTGCACTCCCTCCTCCCCGGCACGCAGGGCCTTCGGTGACTGCGGAACGAAGACGCATGAATGCTGGGTAGTCCTGCAGAAAGCACCATGCATTTGTGCGATCCGGGTCGGGCTTTAGTAGAGGCTGAAATGCCTGGCTTGTTCCTTACGGGTGTGGTGGTGGCCTCTTTTCAAAACCTTAGTGATCACCACAGTGTGCATTCGATATTTTAAAAAGACGAGAAAACAGTTCGCCTCTTAGGGACACTCAGGCTCAGCTGCAGATGGGACCATATAGGCCTCCTGCCCGGAAAGGGCAGTTTCCCTGCTTTTCTTCTCTTCAAACCTTTATGCACTTCGACACGAATGTTTTCACACAGTGAACACAGGAGCGTACAGAACGGCTGCTGCGTTGTGGAAGGTGATCCTGGTCAAATCCTTGCTTTCTGGCATTTTGTGATGATCCAGTAGCCTGAGAATAAGCGTGAGGGTGATGGGCAGGATGCTGTGAGCCCAATTCGTGGAGATCCCTGCCCTGCGCTGAAGGATCCCGGCCCGTAGCACTCAGAGCAGATTCCCAGTCTCTCCCCAGACATGCGTCAGCTATGAGACCACCCCTGGGAACCCAGCCCCAAGGCGAGGCGCGACACCCGTGGGGCACTCAGTCCTTGTAGCCTCGCTCAGGCGCTTCCCAGGAGGGTGTGGGAGGCTGAGAGCGCAGCCGCCCAGCAGGGGGGCTGGCGGGAGCCTGGACCTGGGGAACTGAGTCGGGGTCTGAGAGAAGTGTCATCCATAGGAGGGTTCCCTTGACCTGCGTGTGGAGGGGGCTTTCAGGGCTGACGGATGGAAAGAAAGCGGGCGCCGAGGCGGGGACAGCCCCTGTCCGGGTCACTTTCTCCAGTGAAGCTGCGTGGACGGGGACTGAGAGTGAGGTCAGGCCTCCTTAGAGAAGACCGTAGAGGCCGCACTTGGACTGTCCAGCGCAGAGGAGCCGCTGGCTGAACTTTGCTGGAGGCTCGGGCTTTCAGAGGGAGGGGCTGGGACTCAGGATCCAGGCTGCCTGTCTGAAGGGAGGGGCAGGCAGTGGAGGGTGGGGTGAGGAGCAGAGGGGGCCGGCTGAAGCTGGGGGCACCTCTGGGGCCGCTGGGCTGGTGCACAAGGAAGGGGGTGGGGGCTGCAGGGCCCTCCTGGGAGGAGGCACAGTCCCCGTGGGAAGGAGCGGGAGGTGCTTTCTTCCTGAAGGTGCAGCAGGGAGACGTGGGCAGGGCCGGGTCTCAGGTCTCCGCCTCCTTGGAAGGGCGGTGCGGGGCGCACTGGGCCAGGAAGAAGGTGCGGGGAGATGGCGGGGCGGGCTAGCTGAGAGCATCCTCCCTCCCGCAGGCTGGCTTACGGTGGGCCCCACGCTGACCAACAGCAACTACAACGCGGAGACCTACGCGTCCTACTTCAGCGCCCCCAACTCCTACCTGACGGGCTGCACTGAGGAGATCGAGAGGCTGCGCCCCAAGTCGCCCCCACCCAAGTCCAAGGCTGACCGGGGCGGGGGTGCTCCCCGGGGCGGGGGGCGAGGAGGAACCG